TCCTTTGAGAAGAGAATTATGTGCACTATGGCATATGAGTTCCATTCTACCGCAAGTAACTCCTTTTGTCTATACATGTTTCCCCAGCACTTTAAGCTACGGCCTCCACTTCAGTACATCCAGTGGCAAAATGCCCCCAATAACCTTCTGTAGTGCTGCTCTGTGTGATCTGCACATCTTCAACTCATTTTGTGAGAAGAGAGTTGCATTGTTATGAGCACTACGACCTTCACAAAAGTGCGACAATGTTCAAATCTTTACCAGTTATTTTTATTAACACCAGAACTATTGCAACTCAATGTCTTCTTACAATGCTGCAGCATTTCAGCAGGGAAAATATCTTTTAGAAAGGAATATAAGTGTTTCCTCTGGGAAAAAAACCCCACAAAGTTCTTCGCTGTCTTTTAGACTTATATGCATAATACCAATTCAGAGGCTATTTTTACCTCAACTCAGTCGATACAGCTTTTCACCCGGTATCAGTTTTGTTATATTTGTTTAGATTTGTTTTACTTTAATATAGACGATTACTTGCTTAGACTTTGGGCCTATTTCAGCATGTTCCTGCAAAAGGTCATGACACCAATCTAAGTAAAACACAACAGCAGTGTGTCAAACCTGTGACATTTGTATAAGCCAACCCCAATGCTAAAATCATGAACTTTCCTGGTTTGCGGCTGTGATTTTCCCAAACAAGCAAAGTTAAATTATTCAGATTGAGCAAAATTAAATTATTTAAATGTCAGCAATGCATTTTTGTATCTCCCAGGATTCCCATCTGAGCATTTCAGGGAATATCACTTGACATTCAGTGTATGGGTACATGCACCAACACATACTGAGCATGACGTGTTGAGGGAACAAGCACAAAATACACTGGTTGACTTGTTCATCCCATACTCTCTGAACAGATTTACCTTTCCTTTGCTAGTGCTAGTCAAAGACTGTCCCAAAAATAAGCTGGTTAGAAATCTTTCTATTTGTTTATTTATTCGTTTAATTTAACAGCTTTTGGTGTTAGCAACTGGTAGGCTAAGTGCACCTTCAGTAAGTGCTGTTGATGACAGCCAGTGGTACCCCCTACAGCACATACACCCAATAGTGATGTTTGTAGCTACTTCCAGGGTTGTTTCATCTCTAGGATTTCATTACAGTAACATGCTTCTGGCATTTGATCTGCTTTGAGTTTGTCTAAGGCAGCAATCAAATACATATTGCAAGTCTGTCTTTTTTTTGCCTTCACTGTCCGTGTAAGGAGCGCAGCTGTCAGCCTCGGCAGCTGGACGCCTGTCACTAGAGTGAAAACCTCACAGTGAGTAAAATTCTACAATTCATTTCAGTAAGATCATGGCTTCACCCTTTCTGTTTTCCAGTGTAATTCCAGGAGTAGTACTTCAGGAAAAATAGAATGTGCCTATTTTATCTTTCTAGTCCAAGCTATAATTTGTCTTCACTCTATTTTTATTAATTTATAGGTGTGTGGGGAGATGAATGGGAGGGAGTTCAGTTACTAATTCTAGCCCTAATACTTGTATCTTATGACAAATCTGAACTTAATGAAATAAGATTTTATTTCTCTCCTCTGACAATTTACTAAGTTGGAATTTATTTTTGTTCTTAATTTTTGGAGGAATAATGAAATATTTCCAAAAGAGGGCTACCAAAGCCCTCTGCTTTAACAGAAGTTTCAAAAAACCATTCTAGTTATGTCTATCATGTACATTTTGTAATATGATCTCTCTAGTGCAGGCATCAAATTTAGTGTGACCTGTGGGAAAATTCTGCTCTGATTTTCCCATTACCAATCCCAGTTTATGCATTACACAGGTATGAACACCTGTTCTATGACCAGAAGATAGTACTCTGATATCATTCAAGAGACCTACCATGCAGCTGTCAGAGGAACAGTTTACTTGAAAATATCTAGTAAATATGTTTTATATTGGTTTAAATCCCTGCAGTTAACACTGCGCAAAGTGTT